CTGAAACCTTCACTTCATATGCAGCCATCATTCTTCCTCAGATCTGAAACCATGCTCTGATATCAGTTGTTGTTGTTGTGAGATCTAGATATACACCAGTTGATGTGGTATATATATATATATATATATATATATATATATATATATAGATTTACGTGGTTTGACAAATTGCCTACGTCCACAGAGTTGCTGAGAATTTTACTACTTGAGGAATTTACACCAGTCGATCACCTCGACTTACAAGAGGAATCTCTCACTCTTCGTTGCTCTCTCTGTTCTTCTCTCTCTACACTGAGATACACCGAAGAAAACTCTACACCAAGATACACCGAAGCAGACAAACTTACAAGAGAAATAAACTCAATTTCTCTTCTGCCACAAGCCACCAATAAGAAGCCTAGGGAGAACAATCTTCTTCTTCTTTCTTCTGCCGCAAGGAACTGTTCCTCCTTGTACTTCTCTTCCTCTGCCCCGAAGAAACCTTCCTCTATCCATAGGAAACCAAAGAAGAACTCAAAGCGTGACTTCACTTGTTGAAGGAGAGTCGTCTGAAGCCTTTTATCATGAACAGGAGGGAGCGAAGAGATGCTTCACTTCACAAAAGAGGAAGACGGGAGTGGTTATTTGTGAAGAGGTGCGACCCTCCAAAACAAAGTAACCGCCCAAGCATAGTGGACCGGGCTCCACCGTTTCTAACAGGTTGTTCATGATCTGATTTCAAGCCGAGCCAAGGCCGGCTCAAAATCGGCTTGAAAAAATTTGATTCAAAGTTTTGGCTTGTAGCTCGACTCGTTTATCTCGACCCGAGCCAAAATTTGAATTAATTTTTGAGCGATTAAAGATCTTTGAGCTAAATTTGTTAGATTCACGACTCTAATAATACTAGGGTTATTAATGATCTGATTTCAAATCAATTCAACGGTAAAAGAATTAACCATCACATAAACAAATAATAAATAAGATCCTGACAAAAACACCTAATGGACGCAGCAGAACCAAATTGGTATTTTATATGACAGTGAAATTTGGATTATGAACATTCAATTAACCAATATATATGGTGGTTGAATCATAGGGTAAGAAAATTAATACAACTTTGGATTAATTCCACAATATAACCTTTAAAGGCGTATGGATTGCACATGACACAAAATCAAGCCACAAATGTGTGGCCCAACGCAGTCTTGTCGAAACTCCAACCCGGGACAATGCACTAAGGCGGGGAAAAATTTTACATACAGAGTATGGATGTAATTCTGTACGTGGACTTTCAGTAATATATTGTCATGTGGATGTTATTGTGAGGTTATTGAACTGATATCATATAGATTATTGGGAGATTATTGAGGGGTTATTAGGGGGTTATTGTGGTGGTTAATGATGGGGTTATTGCGGGAGTTAATCCAGAGGGTTATTGAAGTGGAACGACAGATGATATTAATGGGTCATTGCGGAGGTTATTGAAGTGGAACCGTTGCAGTTATTAGGAGGTTATTGTGGTGGTTATTGCATCGGGTTATTGGAGTGGAACCACATAGGTTATTGGGGGCTATTGAAGGGTTATTGTGGCGTTTTGGAGTTAATGCCCCGACAAGCCCCCAATAACCCTCCCAATAAAATCCCCAGTTCCACTGTAATAATCTCTGTGATTCCACTTTAATATTTTTTTAGGTTGACCCAATATAGCACACAAGACGACATATTACTTGAGTTCGCACCCAGAGCTGCGCACATACTCCATATATAAAATTTTCTCCTAAGGCGGACTCCAAATTTCCTCAGCTTGGCTATCTGGTCAAGGCTGACGACTTGTCAAATACGAACTGGCAAGTGAGAACTACTCATTTGTTCGTCTAGCTCAGCTCGCCCACAATTGACTCTAAGGTTGAATTGGCTTAGTGACCAACTCTCTCAGTGGCCAAGCAAGCTAACAAAGATATGACCAGAGGAATGTATTGAGAAATACATGACAAAATACTATGCAAACATTAGGAGAGAATTTTACATTCGGAGTCAGAACGCAGTTCTGCGTGCGGATTTCCAGAAATATGTCGCCACATATGCTACATCGCGGAGGTTATTGAGGATTATTGAAGTGAAACTGCTGAGGTTATTAGAGGGTTACTGAGCGGTTATTAGGGGGTTATTGCGAGGGTTATTACGGGGGTTATTGCAAGAAATATTGAAGTGGAACCGCAGAGGTTATTGAGGGGTTATTGGGTGGTTATTGCGGGGGTTATTTGAGTGGAACCACAGAGGTTATTAGGAAGTTATTGAGGGGTTATGCGACGTTATTTGAGTTAATATTCCCAAATAACCCCCCAATAACACTGCAAATAACATCCGCGGTTCCACTCCAATAACCTCTGTGGTTCTATTCCAATAACCTTCGCGACTCCACTTTAATATTTTTTTAGGTGGGCCCAATATAACACACATACGGTATATTACAGCACGTATAGCTATGTACGGAGTCCGGATTACAACAACAACAACAAAGCCTTAATCCCACTACGTGGGGTCGGCTACATGAATCCTTTTTCTCCATTGCGTCCTATTTAGTGCATATTTTCATTTAGTTCTAGTAAATTAAGATCATTTTTAATACAATAAGCCCAAGTCTTCCTAGGTCTACCTCTGCCTTTCTTAACACAAGTCGAATCTAAAACATCTACTCTCCTAATCGGATCATCTAGGTGGATGAGTGGCTTTACTCTTAGAGACAAAATGCGGATTGTCTGTCACAGGAGCTACGCCAACCCTATCACGAATATATTCATTCCGCATTTTGTCTCTAAGTGTAAATCCACTCATCCACCTAATCATTCTCATCTCGGCAACACTTAACTTATTATTATGCTTCTCTTTTAAAGGCCAACATTCAGCGCCATAGAGCATTGCAGGTCTCACCACCATCTTATAAAATTTTCCTTTCAGTCTTAGCGGTACTTTTCTATCACACAAAAGGCCCGAAGCATTCCTCCACTTCAACCAACCAACTTGAATTCTACTATTAACATCCCCATCTATATCACCATCGCTTTGGACAACGGACCCAAGATATCTAAATCGTTCACACCTTTTAATAATTTGATTACCCAAAGTCACACTTTTGTTACTAGAGTTATTACTACTAAAATTACATTCCATGTATTCAGTTTTAGTTCTACTTAAACGAAGGCCTTTAGACTCCAATGTAGACCTCCATAATTCAAGTTTTTCCTGGGCTTTTTCTCTCGTTTTATCCACGAGAAGAATATCATCAGCAAAAAGCATACACCAAGGTACATCCTCCTGTAAATATCCAGTAAGACAATCCATAACTAAAGCAAAAAGATATGGGCTTAAAGCCGATCCCTGATGTAATCCAACAGAAATAGGAAAATATTTTGTCAATCCTCCTTCAGTTTGAACACAAGTAACAGCTCTAGTATACATATCTTTAATGACTTGAATATAAGTCAAATCAACACATTTCTTCTCGAGAACTTTCCAAAGGATATCTCTTGGAACCTTATCGTAAGCTTTTTCTAAATCAATAAAAATCAAATGTAGATTCTCCTTATTATCTCTGAACTTCTCCATCAAACCTCTCAATAAATGTATAGCTTCCATAGTAGACCTGCCAGGCATAAATCCAAATTGATTATGAGAAATTTTCGTGATGCATCTTAACCTATGTTCAATTACCCTCTTTCACAATTTTAAAGTATGACACATCAACTTAATTCCTCTATAGTTTGCACACTCTTGTGCATCCTCTTTATTCTTAAAATTGGGGATCAAAATACTCTTCCTCCACTCCTCAGGCATCTTTTTAGTTTTTAAAATAATATTAAAGAGTTTAGTAAGCCAAGAAACTCCCAAATCTCCCAAATATTTCCACACTTCAATTGGGATATCATCAGGTCCTACAGACTTTCCACCCTTGGTTTTCTTTAAAGCCTCCTCAACTTCTTTTTTGCTAATGCGACGGTAAAAATGAAACATTTTATTAATAATCGTAATATTAAAATCACTAAGTTCAATCGTATTTTCAGAAATTTCATTAAAAAGTTTATCAAAATAAGACTTATAATGATAACATGTTTGCCTTTATTAACTATTATATCAAAATTAGAAGAAAGTAAAAAAACAAATAGATTAGAGATCCCTAAAGCTCAACTATAATGATAACATGTTTGCCTTTATTATTGCCTTGGAGAAAGCCTTCTTTCACTGGCTAACACATATTATGGGACATTTACATACATACCACCCAATTCATATATGCATTTACTTATCTAACACCTAAATTTTGATTATTACATTTATACCAGCCAAACTTTTCATATCACATTATGTGATTCACATATAATAATGACTAGATCAACTTTTAAAGACTGAAATAAATCTTTTAATGCATTGATAAATCAAATACAAATTAAAAAAATGTAATTGCAATAGGTAATTAATACTAATATGACTGTAGAAATTACTATTTTAAACAGTTTAATAAATAACTAACTTAATGTTAATTGAATTATAATTTTGCGCTAATTATAGTTTTATTAGTCCAATCAAATTTAAAAACCTATACATATAATAAGATATAACATTCATATAATTTTATTAAAATATTATTTTAATTAGTTATCTTAAATTTGGAAAAAATTAGCTAAAAATTTTCTCAGATTATCATTATATTTAACTTTAATCTGAAGAAATAATTTTTAGAATTATGTAAATTGGAATTTAAAGCATATAATAAATATATCTCGAGTTAGATCAGAGACTTAAGACTTTGGGATAATTACATACAGGCACCCAAAACATTGCTATTTACAATAGAGCCCCTAATTGATTTTTTTAATTGCATTTAGGCGTGTCACTGTCAAAAATTTTGAGTTTTGAGTGAGAATTTGAAAAATGGACAAGAGATGTCGTTTGATCTGTAAATAGCAACGTGTTGGGTGGCCTGTTTGTAAAAAATATATTTTGTTGGCGAGTAGAGACGAAGGGACGCCGGCGATCAATTTCTATATTGGACGACGCCGAATCCCTGCCGGCACGTTCCCGAGCTTGCTTTCCCATGGATCCAGCAACCTTCGATAGGGAGAGGCATGTGGCCTTCCTGGAGATGATGCTGGAGCGCTTGCCGGAAGAGTACGAGTCACAGGAGATCAACCGCCTCACAATTGCCTACTTCGTCATCTCTGGACTTGCTGTTCTTGACGCCTTAGATCGGGTACTTCGTTGCCCTCGTTTCTCCGCCTCTTCTTATAATTTATTCATTGCTCAATCCGATATCTAGTATTTGGGCCCCTTCCATATCCTCCCTTCACTTTATTTTTCCTTATTGGAAGATGCGAAGCCTGCAGATTTTGGAAATTTGGATATTTGAATTTCTTAAATATGGTTAAATCTGATGGTTGAATAGCTTGAAGCTGAAGTAGTGCTGAAGTAGAGCTTTTGGGAGAGATTGCAAATGCCTGTGCTGAAATTCTGAATTTACGTTCATTGAGGACGATGCAATAATATATTGTTGAGTGGGTTGAGTAAAAGATGAAACAGTAAAATGAGGAGCATGATAGAATCTATGTACAATGGCGGTTTCAGAATTTTGGCATTTATTATTTTGGTACTGTTTGCTGAATTTGGAGATACTTTAGTTAAAGTTAGTACTTTGATTCATTAGTTGAGCACTCGCAGCTAAGCTGGTTGTGACCTCTGATTCCAATTTGAACAAATTCTTAAACAAACTAAGAACAATGAAAGGACGCTGAGAATGGTTTCTTACAACTTAGAAGAATTTTCGTTCTAATACTTAGAATTTGGGAATTTTATGAGTTCATAATGTTAGTGTCACGATGACTCATAATTACAAACTAAGGCAATGACATAGTTGTAATTTCTATCACATATTATTAAATAAGGAAAGAAGGCTTCTGGTTGGTGGACCGGTCTACATCTGGATAACTCATTAGTTATAAATAATGAGGATACATGTAGAGAGGGTTTTAAGGAAAGAAAAACAGTTGGTTGAAGAAAGAAGAGAACAGACTTCGAAAAATTGAGGAGAGCATCTTAGAGATCTTGTATCGAGTTGATTCGAGAGAGAGATTATGGCAAGATGATAGCTCATCTCTCAATATAGGAAAAGCTATGTAAATCTTCTTTATTACCTTAATGATTGATGGTTGATTTCCCTACCGTGGATGTAGGTCATTTGGACCGAATTACGTAAAATTTATGTGTGTTCTTGATCGCAATTTTCTTCTTTTTGTTTCTTTTCTCTTTCCTTTTCTACAGTTTTTCAGGTGGTTCACGGTGCAAATTTTCAATAGTTGGCGCCGTCTATGGGAATTCTAACTATGCAATGGGAACTGTCAAATTTGACATCGACAAATTCACCGGAAAGAATGATTTTGGCTTGTGGAGAGTCAAGATGAGAGCTCTGTTGGTAAAACAAGGGGTCGTCGAAGCACTGCAAGGTCCTACGGCATTGCTGACCGAGATGTTCGAGAAAGAGAAGAACGACATTCTGAAATGGGCTCATAGCTTGATAATCTTGAGTTTGGGTGACAGTTATGATGGAATTGTCGAGGGAGATGATGGCTTAAGCGCTTTGGGCCAAACTCGAACTGCTCTACATGACAAAATCTCCATCCAATAGACTCTTCTTGAAACAACGTCTGTGCTCTTTCAAAATGCAAAAAAATAAATCAGTTTCGAAGCAAATTGACGAGTTCAACAATATCATAGACGACCTTAAAAATATCGACCTCAAGATGGATGACTAGGGCAAGACACTGTTGTTGTTAAACTCCATTCCTAAGAGTTACGATCACTTCAAAGATGCGATGCTCTATGGAAGGGTGCAAACAATTTCACTAGAAGAGGTTCAATCGCTGATTAGAGCCAAAGAACATCAAAAGAAACATGACATGAACGAGAGAATCAGCGGAGATTGTATTGTTGTTAGAGGAAGATCAGACAAAAAAGATTCAAGAAACGATCTGAATAGATTAAGATCGAGACAATAAAAGAAGAGCGGAAATCAGTCATCAAAGAAACCTCACAAGTGTTATCATTGCCACAAAGAAAGTTACTTTAAGAAAAATTGTCCGGATAAAAAGAAAATAATTCAAGAAAACCTAAAAAACCAGGAGAAGCAAGTGTAGCCTCTGATGACTGTGATTCAGCAGATGTTTTGGTAATTACTATGTCTAAATCAAGCAAGGAGTGGATTCTTGATTCAAGTTGCTTCTTCCATATGTGTTCTCATAAAGATTGGTTTGACACACTCCAATTGGTCGACGGTGGATCAATACTACTTGGAGACAACGAAGCTCGCGGGGTTGTTGGCAGTGGGACAATCAAGATAATGATGTTTGATGGAACTGAACGAATACTACAAAATGTCAGGTACATACCAGAACTCAAAATGAATATGATTTCTTTAATTATGTTGGAATCAAGTGGCTATTTTTTCAAAGTCGAAAATGGTTGTGTTAGAGTAATTAAAGGTTCTCTTATCGTCATGAAAGACGTTTGAAAAAAAATGCATATATTCTCTAATCGGAAGAATCGTGATTGGTAACTTCTCTAATGTTGTTCAATCTGAAAATGACATGCTCACCAAGGTGCTACCTATAGCTAAGTTCAGGTACTGTCTGGACTTAGTGAACTCAATCAAGGGCTAAGGGCCCTTCGGGGCTAGGTGGAGGTAATTTTCATTATGTTGGTTTGTAATTGATAGTCAATGTGGAGAATTGTCACCATGACTCACAATTACAAACTAAGGCAATGACATAATTATAATTCTATTGTCGTTGTTAAAGAAGGAAATAAGGCTTCTGATTGGTGGATCGGTCTACACGAGGATAGCTCATTAGTTATAAATAATGAGGAAAAATATAAAGAGGGTTTTAAAGAAAGAAAAACAGTTTGTTAGAGAAACAAGAAAATATGCTTCAAAAAATTGAGGAGAGCATATTGGAGAATTTGTATAGAGTTTGTTGAAAATCTGCACTGTCATTTACCTGGACAACCGAAGAAAAGAAAAAAGAAAAGAAATTAAAAGAAGAAAATCTGATCAAGAACACACAAAAACTAATGAGGATAGCTCATTAGTTACAAATAATGAGGAAAAATGTAAAGAGAGTTTTAAAGAAAGAAAAACAGTTGGTTAGAGAAAGAAGAGAATATGCTTCAAGAAATTGAGGAGAGCATATTGGAGAACTTGTATCGAGTTTGTTGAAAATCTGCTTCATCATTCACCTGGACAACCAAAAAAAAGGGAAAATAAAAGAAACTAAAAGAAGAAAGTTATGATCAAGAACACACAAAAATTTTACGCGGTTCGGTTCTTATAACCTACATCCACTGGAGGGAAATCAACCATAAATCACTAAGACAATAAAAAAGGTTTACATGGCTTTTTTTTCACATTAAGATATGAGCTCTCATCTTGTCATAAATTCTCTTTCGAATCAACTTGATACAAGATCTTCAGATGTTCTCCTCAATTTCTTGAAGTCTATTATCTTCTTTCTCTAACCAACTGTTTTTATTTCTTTAAAAACCTCTCTACATGTATCATCATTATTTATAACTAATGAGCTATACTCATGTAGATCGGTCAACCAATCAGAAATCTTCTTTCATTCTTTAACAACAGGTGATAAAATTACAATTATGTCACTGTCTTAGTTTGTAATTGTGAGTTATCATGACAATTCTCTACTTTGACTATCAATTACAAACCTCCATAATCGAAATTCCCTTCACCTGGCCCCGAGAGGCCCTTAGCTCTTGGTTGAGCTCACTAAGTACAAACAATACCTGAACTTAGCTATAATTAGTACCTTAGTGAGCATATTAGTTTCAAATTGAATAAAATTAGAGAAGTTACCAATCACAGTTCTTTCGATTAGAGAATATAGGTCATTTTTTCTAACTCCTTTCATGACGATAAGAGAACATTTAGTTACTCTAATACAACCATTTTTCATCTTGAAAGAATAGCCACTTGATTCCAACATACATAAAGAAATCAGATTCCTTTTGAGTTCAGGTATGTACCTGACATTTTGCAGTATTCGTTCAGCTCCATCAAACATCTTTATCCTGATTGTCCCACTACTAACAACCCTATGAGCAATGTTGTCTCCAAGCAGTACTGATCCGCCATCAACCAGTTGGAGTGTCTCAAACCAATATTTACGAGGGCACATATGGAATGAACAGCCTGAATCAAGAATTCACTCCTTATTTGATTCAGGCTCAGTAATTATCAAAACATCAGCTGAATCGTAGTCATCAGAGGCTACACTTGCTTCTTCTAATTCTTTAGGTTTTTCTTGAATTTTTTTTCTTTCTATCTGGACAATTCTTCTTGAAGTGACATTCATTGTGGCAATGATAACACTTGTAAGGTCCCTTTGATGATTCATTGTGGCAATGACTTTTCTTTACTTGTCTCGATTTTGATCTGTTCTGACCGTTTCTTGAATCTTTCTTATCTGATATTCCTTTAACGACAAGACCATCTCTGCCGATTTTCTCGTTCATGTCATGTTTCTTTTGATGTTCTTTGATCAACGATTGAACATTCTCTAGTGAAATTGTTTGCACTCTTTCATAGAGCATCACATTGAAGTGCCCGTAGCTCTTAGGAATGAAGTTTAAAACAGCAACATTGCCTTGTCCTCACCATCCATCTTGACGTCGATATTTTTAAGATCGTCTATGGTCTTGTTGAGCTCATCAATTTGCTCAGAAACTGATTTGTCTTCGTGTATTTTAAAATAGTACAAACATTGCTTCAAGAAGAGTTTATTGATCAGAGATTTCGTCATGTAAAGCAGTTTGAGTTTGGCCCGAAGCGCTTGAGCCGTTGTCTCCTTCGACACTTCGCTCAGAACTTTGTCACCCAAGCTCAAGATTATCAAGCTATGAGCCATGTCCAGGATGTCGTTCTTCTCTTTCGTGGCCATTTCGGCCGGCAATGCCGTAGGACCTTGCAGTGCTTCGCCAATCTCTTGTTGCACCAACAGAGCTCTCATCTTGACTTTCTACAAGCCAAAATCATTCTTTTCGGTGAATTTCTCAATTTCGAATTTGGCGGTTTCCATTGTAATTGCTAGAATTTTCACATACGACGCCAATTGTTGAAAATTTGCACTGCTAATCACTTGGACATCCGAAGAAAAAGAAAAAGAAAAAAAACTAAAACAAGAAAAT